CTAGATAAGTTCTGGTCCTTTATAATTTAAGAAGGAGAAAATTCATATTGTTTATTATGGAAAATTTGCTTTAAATGTGATAATGTATAAGAAATTGGAAATGATTACTGCTTTTTGTTCAATTTTTAGGGGGGTCCAGTCCAGGGGGGGGGCCAAAAAAATTTGCGAAGATATGGGCCCCCCTGAGATTCTTGTTTGATCCGCCCCTGCTTCTATTTTGATAAATTCAAGTACTTTTTAGAGAAACTACTTAAACATTAGCAAAGACTTTCAGGTTTTTCTAAAAATTTGTTAAAACACTTTTTTAAAGTTTGTTGCATTGTATAAAACGGGATATATAAATACAGTTGGAAAGCGCCAGTTTTCCCAAATTCTAACGGTGCGCCGCGCATCACCGGAAATAATTGAAAAATAACCCCCATTATCGGTGTCTTGTTTGGGAGGTGCGCAAGCGAACGAAAAATGCCCCGTAGAGAATGATTTGCAAGAAAGTCTGGGAACTAATACTTAAAGAAATATGGCACCATTACTAGTTTATAAATAATGCTAAAGATAAGATATTAGTTCCCTGCTGTGCAAAAACTAAAATTAGAAAGATATGGGAAATTAAATGGAAGGAAGAGTCCAAGACTAGAAACTTTATTATTTTAAGTTTAAAAACATAAAATTGAAAGGTCAGGTGGAGATAAGATCTATTGTTGGATGGCAAGAGAGAGATTTCTGTGATTGCAGTAAATGATTTGTTTTATGATTTTATTGATATATATATATATAGTGTTCTACAAAAACAAAAATTACGGAGTTAGCAGCAGTTGATGATCTGAGAAAAATCTTTATAACACTATTTTATATAAAAAGTGTTTGCTGCTAACTCTGAAATTCTATATCTTCTCTGGTATAAACTTATCCGTACTCTTTGTGCTGTTGCTCTTGTTGTTCTTGTTGTTATGAAGCCTGTAAGTGCATGGTAATGCATGCAAAACAAACTAAATTCAAATAAACGCAAGTTGTCCAGTGGTTCATGCAGAGGATATGAAATTTGATTGTGACAAATAAATTTTTTTATAACCCATTAAGCATTACAAACAAAAGAAGCTCTCCCCACCCCATGTTATTTTTCTGTCTTATAAAAAGGAATTTTATAATCTCATGCAATCTAATGTCCTAGATCTAAGATATTTATAACTATGAATTCTGTTAGATCAATTAATCTAAGTTTAAATATAAAAGGTCTACGCTTAGGTGGCAAAGATAAGGATTAGAAAATTTGAGTTTGTGTCAAAGACTCAATTCGTTAGAGATTTTGAATTTCGAATTTGATTTTGCAAACTTTATGAAATATCAAAAATGTAAACTTTCCTTTTCATTTTACACAAAAAGATAGTTCAAAGTTGCAAAAACTTGATTTTCGTTTTTTTTAACTTTCTATTGATTGAATCCTGAAACTAATTAAATATTTCAGTCTTTTAATCATGTTTTTTCAACTTTTTGTTTTGAAAAAGTGACTTTTATCAACCTTTCACGATCTTTACGTTATGTTTATCCAAACTTTATCTTCAATGAATTCATAAAATTAATCTGCCATTTTCTCAATTTGTATGGGCGCTAAGTTATTCGGTATGAGACGTCTTTAACGATTTTCTCCTTGCAGACGCAACAGATAGAAGTAAGATTAGTAGCGATCAAAAGCGCTTTTTTATCGCATTAAGCCTATACCCCCTTTCATTTTTCGCGAACACTCCCTTTAAAGAATGTTTTTTTTTACTTTCAGTTCAAGAAATTCGTTAAACTTTTTCGATATTTATAGATTGTTTTTCAACTTTCTTATTAATGGAATGTTTTTTTTAAACTTTCTATTTAATGAATTCTTGAATTCCAGATATATGAATACATAGACCGTCAAAAGTTTTTTGATAATTCTAAAAAAAACTTCTTTATATTTTTAATTCAAGGTAAATTAATAGCCCTGAAATATGAATGCAATTGATATATTAATATTAAACTCATCATTCCGCGGCATTTTATCTTAAATATGTAATACGACATTATAAAAACTCTTGCTATGTATTCATATATCTGGGATTTACTGTAAATAATTTAAAAAATAAACAAATTATAAAATTATATTTAGATCAAGGATCAATATTTATTATTTACTTAACTTTTAAGGTTTCCTATTTATTTTTAAGAATTCCTTTAAATTATAATTTAGAAATAAATATTTTTTAGAAATGCAAGAGCGCGTCAAAACAAGTTAAAACTAATTCGTTGAATTCCTTGATTTGAACTCAACAGTGAAAGAAAAACAGTTCTATAGAATAATGAAACCAGAGGCGTAGTCAGGGGGGAAACTAAGGGGGCTAAGCCCACTCCCTGGACCAGTGAAATTTATTGTTTTTAGGAGGGCTACAGGCCCCAACGGTTGCTAACCCCACCCCCCCCTGGAAAGATAAAAAAATTTAAGCCCTTGTGGAAAAATTCCTGACTACGCCCCTGAATAAAACGTACAAAACAAGGTTCTACTTTTTTTCTAAGAAGATGGTTAAACCATTTACGATCCAAATTGGTATTTTAAACAGACATAAGTTTAAATTAAAGTATAGTGTAGTGACCTTTCGCATCCATTAATGAATAACCGCCTCAAACACTATTTTCATAATCCCGTATGTCGTTTCAACCTGATCACGAAGATTTGTTTCATTTCAATATTTGAATTATATTTCTGAAAAGTCAGAGCTTAAAACTTTAGAATGGTGAATATCGAGATTAATGCTTAATCCTCTCTTTTTGCTAATCTCAAGACTAATTTAATATTTAGATCAATTTCTAGAGATTAGAGATGCGCTCTTTAAATTTGGAAAAACCGGTTCCTAATTTTCCTGCATTTGTGGTGTCATATCAATTGGACTAATGATCGATTTAACGCACGTATTTTTTATAAAGACTAACGTTTAAAAGGACTATAGTCCTTAAATTCCTTAAGTTCATGTTAACATGATTAAATTTATGTTTGTTTAAATATTATAAAAGCGTGATTGTGCACAGCTGATTTTAGTTCAATCGGATATTAGTCCAATCGATATAGCATCTTAACTGTATTTGTAATCAATAAAACGTGATCTTTATTTCATGTAGTAGGAAATGTGCTATCCAACAAGAGCGGATTAAAGATGAAATTAAAAGTGTCCACAATGGATATTTAGATTAAGTGATCAGGATTAAGGGTATTCAATTCTAAAGTTTTCAGCTCATGTCATAAGATTTAAATTTCAAAAGTTTATATCATTAGATTGCTGAGAAGATATAGAAATCATAAGTAAGAATTTGAGGCGAATATTCAATTATTTTGCGTTGAAACTCCCATTAAAACGTAAAGGAAGTGAGTCTTTGCCACAAACTCATATTTTCTACTCCCTTGATATTTACAACATATACTAGTGTAAACCTTTGCTATTTCAAACTTAGTAAATCTAATATAACAGAATTAATGGTTAAAATATGGTGAATGTTTATATTTGCGTAATTCTAAATCATTTGAGAAATTTGTGATTAATACTGCAGATACTTTGTTAAGTGATCTTGGGAAAACAATCTCTTTAACACGCTAATATATAATAATATCCCTTTAACTCGCTGATATATAATAATATCCCTTTAATACGCTAATATATAATAATATCCCTTTAACACGTTAATATATAATAATATCCCTTTAACACGTTAATATATAATAATATCCCTTTAACA